TGTCTTATCTGACTTAATTGTGTAACTCTCACCCTCTGTTCCGTTCAAAATCACGAACAGGTTTCTGGTTTGGTGAGAGTTGTGAAACATTGCACCCCATTTTATGTGTATGCATATTTTTTCACGCTCGTCTGATGCCAGACTGTGTGCCAACCAATCATGGTACAAAAATCTTTATGAAAATTATGTTCTATGATTTGCATGTGGGCCGAATACTGCCAGGTTATCCAGGCCAAGGCAGGTGAATTTTCTTGGGGAATCCACAACCGGAGCCTTCGGCTAACCAGAGCCTGACCCGCAAGGCAGCGGGGCGATGTGCGAAAACCGCGATCCATTGGGGCCGGTTTCCAGTTCATCAAATCATACGCCTTTCGGACGGGGTCAAACGTCCAAGGTGCCCAATCGAGCCGATGACCATTGTCGCAACCGGAAAGGTGTGGGTGTGGTTCGTACGCCTCCTCCTGATTGGTTTGGAATCAGGGTCTTTAGCCAACTCCCCTAGGTGAACTACCAGTGGTCCACCAACCCGGTTATTGCCCCGGGTATCGACTTGTCGTCCTCTCACTTAGGTGCAAAATACCTCCGCCACGAGACGGCAGTGAGTAGGATTTCCTCAGTAGAGGCTATTCGAGACGCTTGATCGTATGGGAGCATTTCGTGAGGTTCAAGGAACGGGTGACCAGCCGCAACCCTAGACACCCACCCGCCCCCGACTATACTGAGGATTTCGGAGTCGTCTGGGGAATGGCGCAGAAATTCGACCGTTTTTGCTAGCATTTTTTGCAATTGCAGTAGCTCGTTTTCGCTTTAGCGAATCAAGACCCATGAAATCTCGTGTTTCTCATGAGGGAAATGGAGAGTTCGGTTTGATCTTCTGGTAATTTTCGTCGTGTACAGTGCAGCAAATGTAGCGTGAACCGAACAGCTAGGAAGCACTGGATAGCTGTTTCCACCTGGTTGTGGATCTCATCCGTGCAGTGCACGAATTCATCGACCCAACTGGGGATCGAACCCGGGGCCTCACAGACTGAGCAGATCCATGTCTCCAACTCGACCACTAGGCAGCCGGTCAGACCGCTCTTCATTTTCCTTATACACCAAATAGAACAACCCATCTTTGCGAGCTTATTGCGGGCATCTCAACACCGGCCTCCAGGTTGGAATCGCTCCAACCTGATTACGTGTGTCCAGGACACTGAAATCTGACGCGATGAACCCGGCCAAATGTGCTTTCACTGTCCCTTATAATAGTTGTGCCTTGGTTTTGACGACCAGCGAAGGGTCAAAAACGAAAAAAGGGATTCTTCTACGCCAGATGCACAGACAGTGCAGAAGGGTGTGAGTGGAACTGAGTAATGTGATCACGCCTTGCTATTTGATACAGTTTTATCGGAAAAAGTACAAACGAGAACCACTGCTGTAATTTTTATTCCGCAATGGGTCTCCGATCTGGTAAATCACCTGGTTCATAAAACCAAATATCTACAAATCCCGCAACAAGGGTATTGCCTCCCCCCCCCCTCCATGACCTTCACATACCCAACTTGGTTGTAAAACGGTGCGATAAGCCTCTCTTGTTTGTACTTCGGCATGGCAACTGACAGCGGTGGTGAGTCATTGGGTTGTGTTAGCTACGGTCATGCTCGTGCCACTCCCAATACCCTTGAAAGAACAAAGACATCTAAGAGAGCGACTATAAGGCATTACCAACCGTGGCTTGACCAAGAGGCTTACTGATAACCCAAGTGATGCCTTCCGTGAGATCAATGTCAGCAAGCCTGTGATAGTCAGATCGAGTAGTACGTCCTGACCACACTGGCACAATATTCGAAGCGGATAAAGCTGGAATGCGATCATATAAACGGGTTAGAGACCAGACAAAGCACTCTGGTAAAGGTAAGACTACACCTTTTTCATGTCAAGTTGTCCCAGTATCATATCATGTTGTCCGGGGATCATTTCAAACTGTCTCCGGATTATTTTAAGCTGTGCTGCGATTATTTCAAGCTGTCCTGCGAGTATCTCAAGCTGTCACATTGATCTCACTCAATCGAGCCGGTGACCATTGTCGCAACCGGAAAGGTGTGGGTGTGGTTCGTACGCCTCCTCTTGATTGGTTTGGAATCAGGGTCTTTAGCCAACTCCCCCAGGTGAACTACCAGTGGTCCACCAACTTGGGTATCGACTTGTCGTCCTCTCACTTAGGTGCAAAATACCTCCGCCACGAGACGGCAGTGAGTAGGATTTCCTCAGTAGAGGCTATTCGAGACGCTTGATCGTATGGGAGCATTTCGTGAGGTTCAAGGAACGGGTGACCAGCCGCAACCCTAGACACCCACCCGCCCCCGACTATACTGAGGATTGCGGATAAGATACAGCTCCATGTCTAGAGATTCTTTTCAGAGGGCGTCTACTTAATATGATATTATTAGACAGTAGACCGGGAAAGATTAATAGTATGAGAGCAGTAGGCCCAATGCTATAAAACGCAGTAGAAAATAAGTTTGGAGATGATGTGTTTATCATATTATAGATAATAATTGTTGGTACTTGTTGCTTAGCTCAACAAGCGTGTGGTAATCCATCTGCCCTGCGAAACTTCTCTTCCTCTCTGCCCCTGTTCAATGAATGTCCTTCGCGCGGTTTTTCCGTCTCTCCATAGCTTAAGTTCGATGTTTTCAATGCCCTGGATCTGATGGAGAATAAAAAGTTCTTGGAGGAGTTGAAGTTCGGGATCGGGGACGGAAATTTGCATTACTATCTATACAATTGGCGTTGCCCGTCAGCCCAACCCTCCGAGGTAAGCGTGTGTGTGTGTGTATATGTGTAAAAGAGAGAGCGAGAGTATGTGAGAGTGAGAGTCATTGGTCTGTTTATTTTCATCTTCTCCTCCAGTCTGGATCTTCTCACTAATACCGTATAGAAAACCTTTCTATTTTCCCCATCGAGTGATTGTAGCATTTGTGCATCTACCTATTTACTTCTGAATATCTATCTCATGATGAACACTGTCGGTTCATAGGTGCGCGTATGATAGCCATGGTGTTAATTATCACATTTCGATTGGGTGCATCACATGAATTTGTTCGAACAAGTGTCCCCCTTATACGCCTTTTATTGGGGTGTTCTTGTTGGTTCTTGTCTGTGCATGTCTTTTTCTCATTCAGCCAGTAATTTAATAATCTGCTCAGTAGTATTCTCTCTCTCGCGCACGCTTTCTTACTCGCAACGTTTCACTCACCATCAGCCTGTTGTTCTTATTTTCAACCTGCATACATTCTGGGGAACACGATATTATTCATTACCATGATGAAAAGAATTGTTGTGACCTATCATATGGTGAATAATCTGCATGCTATCTGGGTGTTTTTATTCTTGCTGCTACCGATGAAATCGGTTACGGTCCAAATCATTGCTGCTGCGGTCATTTAGAGTCTGCTATTTCCAGTGCTTCCTTTCACCTCTGGTCGTCTGGGTACCGATTCCTTAATTCCAATAACACTAGCAATTTGATTATGAATTTCCAGTCTTTCTCAATCCTTTTGGGATATTCTGTCCGAATCGGAAGGTCCAGATTGTCGATTTTCATCCCTCAGCAGTTGGTCTTCTCAGCTGTAGATTTTATTCCCACACGGTTCGCCACACTTGTATGCGCGCTGTATTTCACGCCTATCTAGGTCCATACAGTCTGCGAAGTTTATCTTGGTTCAACCTTCTGTTGAGAGAAGAGACTTATGTATAATTTGTTTCCGGGCGCAGAACTGCCCGGTTGTCTACACCAAAGCAGGTAATCTTCCCAGGATCTAATCCGGAGCCTTCGGCTAGTCCAAGCCACCCGGCTTGCTGGGCAACAGAGGGCTGTACAAAGATCACAGCATATTATGGATCCGGATTCAACACGTGCTTCAAATCCTTCCCATTTCGGTCGTAATGTCAGTCGTCTCACTGTATTTTTACGCTGTATCACAAGGGCTAAGATGACTTCCATGAACAATGTGTGTATGCAGTTAATCGGAGCATCCACTGAGGACAACCCATTTTATTCCTCGCTCCACTTTTACCGGAAATGAATGTGTCTCGTACTTTAGTGTGTTGGTCTCGAGTTCAGTGATTCTTTCAACTCGAGGTCTGAAATCAACCCATTTTGCTGTGCAATGAGTTTCTTATCTGTGCGTGTTTACATGACGTGATCTGTAAAGAAACCCTAAATGTAAGGTTGACTTATTGGTTTCGCTGGTCAATGAATACATCAGCTATTGCTACGTGTTAGTATGTACGATTGTACTGTGAGATGGGGAAGCTAACACTAAAACATATATCTGAATGTTCCCACCATTTGCAGGTCGCAATTTTGTTGCAGTAATGTGGACCATGGTGCAATCCTGCACTCCATACTGGAGATTCCGCCGAGAGTTCTCTGTCCCTCCTGTCCTCAAACCCGTCCGACCACATTTACGTCGTTCATCCCAAATTGTTCACCGATCACAGAAAGACAGCAGTCTTTTTCAATTACTCGCACCACTCGGACTCAATAATATCAAAAAAACACGCGGTTGCCTCTCGAGCTCTTTACTCTAGGTCACTCGATGGACCCGTAAACCGCCATTCCTCGGATCACATGTGCAGTTTTGTTGGTTGATATGCCTATCGTAATTGTAATTGTTTGTTTCATTGAACCACCGCCTTCTCACGCCCGCCACCTGCTGCCTCCTCTTTTCTCCACCCACTTGGTTCGAACGAGCACGAATCCTTCCGCACGCTCTGCTTCAGTCTGCCTCAAACTTGTCAACTAGTGTTTTCGCATCCAACTTGTCCGCCCACCCGCACCCCGTCGTCGATTCACTCAAGTTTTTTCCCCCTGTTCTTTTTTACTAGTATCTTTTCCACTGATAATCCCACGTGAACCGTACTGTGGTGCCCGGAGGGGTTCTGTTTTATCCACCTTTTCGATGAACGTGTTCCGTGTCCGGGAGTTACTCTCACCACGTTTGCGTGTGCAGGTACGCATGTAATAGAAGGTCTCTTCTGTGATTGACGAATAAGATGAATTTGCCAACCGGGTTCGTTTCTTTCCTCTCAGTTTTCCTTCTAGCGGCGGTTGTTGCCAGCCCAGTTCGAAGAATTCTGCCTCCGTCATTGGGATTAAGTTCGGTTTATTTTACTGTATGTAAAGTCGGGATTGCTTGGGGGGGAGGGGCTCCTTTCCGCACGTCGGTTAGCTTCGAATGTTGGCCTATCGGCGGAATGCTCTAGGCCCTTTTTAATGATCACTGAAGCTGAGTACTGTTTATCCTCTGTTGATTTGATTCAGCTTTCCCTCCCAAGGATTGGTAGTGAAACGAAAGAGATCGTTAAAGTAAATCGCGGATGGTATCCTTGTATTCCACTCAACATTTCGTACCAAAGGGAAGGCTTAGAGCTGTTCGTTTGTGTTTTGGACTAGTGCCAAATCTAAATTGGTTCACTTGTCTATATGGTTCTGGGCGTGTCCTTGGTTCCCGTATACTCGTTTTCTACAGTTTCACTCCAACTGGTAATCCTATCTACATTATAGGAAGCAACCCGCGTTGCTTGTCATCCGGGAGGCTGATCCTCGGTAAAGCGCTTAGAAAAACTCTGTTTGGACTCACTCTCGTCAGCAGCGTAAACATTTTTGGACGCCCGAACCGTTGGTTTATTTGTTTGGTTAAATATCACCATTAAAAGGTTCGACATACTGCTTAATCACATTGACCCTTGGTTTGAGGCCGCTCCACCCCCATAAATGTTCAGCTCCCAATGCTTTTCTCGAGCGTTGGGTTGATAAGAACGGAAGTCACATGATCGTGTCCACGGACGCACATTCTCCCTTCAAAGGTTATTTTTAGTCTCCATTCGACAACTTGGTGGCGAACAGGAAAGAAACTCGGTTCTCATTCAGCAGCTAACGCGGCCGTCGATCGCTTTTGCCATCAACTGGGACAACCCTTGGTTGACGTGGAACCCGTCCGCTTATCTTTTTGGCTAAGTGGAACTTGACATCCGCTTGCGCGGTCTGCCTTCCAGGAGAATTCATGGTGCCTGATCTGTAGCGCACTTTCGAATACAGGTGGCCTGTCCACCGACCAAAGGAACTCTCTCTCGCAGCACAGACGTACAGATTGACGTAAATGGTACCCGACCACCATACAGTGTCCTAATACAAAAAGTTGAATGCATTCTCGTTGACTTCATTGGGAAATTCAGATCTATCCGCTTAGATCCATTTTCACTTTTTACTGCGAGTCCTCTGTGAATCGAAAGACACGCTGTTATTTTACCATGTGCACATTACCTGTTCACATTCAACTGCAGAATTGTCACTTGTCTCGGTAATTCCCGATGTCCTGTTGCAAGTGAACATTCCTTTGCAATTCGCGCTTCATAAAAGTGTGCTGCGTGTCTCCTTCTTACGCAGCCAGATCAACAATTATGTTGCTTTTCACCGTACTTGCGAACGTTAGACAATTTGTCTTTAGGTATCAGATATCCCGTGCTATCTGAAATGGTGATTTTATTCGTAAGAAAAAATAAGCAGTTCAGTTAATGCATCCATTCGCATTTCACTTCAGTTTGTATAGGACAGTATTTGACCAAGACCTAAAGAGCGTTCACAAGTGTTTGGGTAATAAGTCCACGTGACCGCCTTTGCCCTGACAAACGTTCATTTTTTGAGGTTGTTCGCATTCCCTCCCTTACTATGTTCAATGGAATTCGCCGTTACTCGGGAAAGAGCGAATTAAAGTTTTCCCTTGAACAGACGAACTACCCCACTGTTGGATGCGTTGCCTTGTTAAAGATATTGATTTTTAAAAACGGATATCTAAGCGAGCAATGCTGTCCGTCTCTACGCCATACATAGACATAATCCTACCAGCACAGGGGACTCTTATTAGTGATTATGAACACTGTTCGGGGACATTTTCTCAAACAATGTTAATAATTTCAAAGGTGGAATTCGTCTTGTACATAGTAAATGAAGCGTGAACTGAAAAGGTAGGAAGCACTGGACAGCTGTTTCGACCTAGTTGGGTCTCGTCAGCAGTGCAAATCCATCGACCCAACTGGGGATCAAACCCGGGACCTCATGGGTAGAACGCAAGCATGTGAGTAAATGGAAAATGAAAAACGGTCTGATCAGGTGATCGAGTGGGTTGCATACTGTGTCCTGTCCGTGAGATCCGGGGTTCGATCCCCAGTTGAGTCAATGGATTCGCTAATGAGACCCAACCAGGTCGAAACAGCTGTCCAGTGCTTCCTAGCTTTTCAGTTGGTTATAGACGCTGAGAGATGGCGCGAATGCTGTACGGTCTGCCTGTCGAAATCCCGCGCCCCGTAAAAACAAAAAAATTTCAAAAAGTGTATGGTGAAACAAAAAAATTGTTATTCCATTTATTCCTAATCTTTTATTCTGACAGACACGTCTCTTTCCCTATACTCCGTATCCCAACCTTCCCCCCCCCCGCGCGTTATTGTTATTGTTAATATTGTTGTGGCGTTGGCACTATGCTTGTTCTCAAGCCGTATGTATAAATACGGCTTTTCAGTTCACTCTTCATTTGCTATATACAAGGCGAATTTCACCTTAGAAATGTTAATAATCTTTACTGCGCCCGGGAACATTGTTAGAAAAATGGAATTGTTAAATGTTCCAACTGGAACATTGGAGAGAGAGAGAAAAAACACGAAATATCGACAAGTTCTTTTCCGATGACTTCATCATCTGGCTGATACAGTTATATAAGTAGGTAGTAGACATACCACATTTGTATAACGTTTGACGTGTGTGGTGTACAAACAAAAAATGGAATG